GTATATCATTCGCCATTCAAGGTTGTACTTCATTCAGTATTGCCATTTACATCGTAATTCGAGTATTACATTTTTCTACGTACACACGCATATATATATATATATATATATATATATATATATATATATATATATATATATATATATATATATATATACCGCGCCAGGCAGAACACAACACTGCTCTCCTGTAGTACCGGCGCCAGCGCCTGCACCAGCAGCAGCAGCAGTAAAACCACCGCCAACACCAGGATCAGCAGCAGTAAGTTGCGGCTGCGCGTTTGTATGTTGCTGCTGTTGCAGGGGCCCTGCAACGCACGGTTCGAAGCACCACCGGGGCCCCGGGTCTGTGGGTGCGGGTACCGACCCCGGGCGGGTGTTGCCCGGGACACGGATGGCAGGGAGGGACCCGAAGCAGAGTAGCACCGTCAGAGATTTGTTGCTGCTGGGGTTCAACCTGAAGACCAATTCGCTGCTGGTTAAAGGCGCAGTACCTGGGCACCCAGGAAAAACAATTGTAAAAGTCCTGTGGGACAGAGCGAGAGAGCAGGAGAAAGAGCTGCGGCAGCGACTCAAGAAGGCTGCAGCAGACGAATTCGTCGAACAGAAAAAGGGAAGGCCAACGGGATAGGTAGCAAGCAGTCGGGGCCACAGCAGCAGCAGCAGGAACAGTAGCAGCAACCGCAGGAAGCGTCAGTGCATAACAAGAAGGATCTTGCTGCAGCGACGTCCTGTAGCGAACCTAGACCAATTGCTGTCTTTAAATCAATTCCTCCTTGTAATAAAAAGTAAAATTTGGCTCTAATCTAGAAAAACTAGCTTACTGATTTTTAAACGTAGCGACGGGTGCAGTTATTGAAAATGTACTATTTCCCAACAACAATGAATGACATTCTGTATGGTTAGCCTTTTTCAAAATTACTTACTTACCCTCTGTATGTACACATAAATTTATTTAAAGAAATACGTTTGAATATTCACGACTTCTAGACCACTGGGCACATCTCTGTAAGTCCCCTTGCATTGTAACTAGACTTAGCGGAGACCTGCGCTTTCGACAAATAGTCGCTTGGATCTTTTCACAGCAGCCCTTTTGGCGTTCTTTTTCCCGAAGTTACAGAATTAGTTTGCTGGAGTTCCTGAGAGAAGATTATTTCGTACTCCTCAGTGCATTTATACTTGCTTACTGGTATTAGTTCTAGTACGGGCGTAATATATATTTAACATCT